GGAAAACTTGAAGTCCAGGGGTGATGTAAATGGATACTTATTGACCTTTGGCACCATTTAGTAGCATTCACTTTTCTGTGGGTCATGGAGAGGCTGGAGGTGCTGCTAAATTGAGCAGAAGCTTCCAATGTCCAGGAATGCAGTCAGCACTCAGGATAGAGTAAATATGTTTATAGACTTCAAATATAGCAATAATCCATGTCAATGTTTTCTATACACTATATTTCTCTACCTATTCTTTCCCTCCAATTGGATTCCCTTTTTACCTTGAGATTTTACCATATAAGTACTTGATCAAATTAAGAAACTTAATACATATTAAATAATTGCATTGAGAGTCTATATCAATCAGTATCACTGAAATTAATCAAATTAGTTAATATGCATGAAGATATCTTATTTTCTAAGAAATATCTTAATATGTTACTTGTAGAAGTCATGTTTTCACTTCTTAAAAGACATGTTTTTGAGGTTATTTCTAACATGGGGGAGACCCATAAAATTAACTAGAATTTTTTCTTTTTCAAATAGAGTGCTAAGAATAGTGGCTAAAATCAAAAGATTGTGGTCTTTGAAATTCTTTTTATATCAGTTCTGTTGAATTAATCACTCGTTACACTGAACATTTGCTAGGTACTAGGCTTGAACAAGGAAAAATTACATGTCTGCTCTAAAGAAAGCAAGGGCCACAAATAAACATGGCCTTATAATCCTACGTGATTAGAACGTTGATAAAGGTATACGGGATACATCATCGTAACATTATACTCCAAAGTCTGAGAATCACACGCACACGTCAGATGAATTCTGTTATTTTGGATTGTATGTACTTACATTTTATCTTATTTTACTTGAGTTTTATACATGTACAGCTCAAGTAAGTTTGTTAAAAATTAGCCCATTTGTAAAGCGAGTGGATCACCTATATATGGATAAGTAGACTTGCCAAAGAGCTTTTGAGAGTAAGTTGAGTGTTCTTTACAGTTGAAAGTACTATAAAAAATATCCATCTTGAAAAGCTCTGAATGAAAGTATGTACTGTACTACGCTATTTTAGTTGGGAAAATAAGATCGATGAGGTTATGAAATTTACTGTGAAAGTGAAGAGAACACAGAAACTGAATGTGAATGTGTGTGTGAAATTTGGATTATTTTTCAAGGATTATTTTTCAAGTAGGAACAAAAGAGCAAAATGTGAAGGCTGACAAAGTTAACATGCTGTTAAAAATGGAGCTTCTTATTGTTAGTGTGGAAAGCCACAACAATGGATTGCTAAAACTGACACATTCTTCCTTTTGCCACTGGGGGTCACTGTAAAGACGCCGCTTGAACAAGTTTAAACCTTTCCTGAGTTGCTCTTTGTGGAGTTAGAATATAAAAATTTAATGTAGAGAAGAAACACTATTCATGGGAAAACTAAAAATGAGTAAGAAAGAAAAAAAAAAATCTCTCTGTGAACTTAATTATAAATTACTAATATGAATCTTTACTTTCTCAGAACATGTATTAATGTGTGGATAAGTATTGTTTTACTATTTAAGATAAAATGTTTAATCAGAATGATTTTAGTATTGCAGAATAATTGGGCTCTCATGTATTTCATTCAAATTCAAATTTAAAATTTTACTGTTAGATTCTGATTTGACCTTTTCCATTAACATAGTAGCTCTTTTAAAAGTTGCTATAAAAACATTCTGCAAGCTATCTCCCAAATATATAACCAAACTAGATCCATATATTTAGTTTGTGGGCAGTATAAATAAAATATAAGCACAAAAAAACTCTTCTGTAATTTCTTAAATTTTCCTGGCTGACTTTCAGGATTCTTTTCTCCCTCCTTCCCTCCCTCCCTTCTTTCCTCCTTTCACCCTCTCCCCCTTCCTCTCTTTTTCCCTTCCCTTTTCATCCCTTTTTCCCTTCTTTCACTCCTCCTCCTCTCCCTACTTTTCTTCCTCCCTCTCTCCCTTTCTTCTTTCCCACCTTCCTTCTTCCATCCATTCTCCCCTCCCTTCCTTCCTTCCTTTCTCATCCTCCCTCTGCTCCATTCTTTTCTCCAGCCTCTCCCTCCTTCCCTTTTCTCTTCAACATTTCTTGAGTGTTTGCCCTTTACCTTTGGTAGAAGCAGAACTCTTTTCTTCTATTGAGACAACAGTGAAGTAAGAAAGTATACATGTAGATGGAGGCTTTTTTTTTTTTTTTTGTAGATATCTGGAGAGGCATTTGAAGAACTTGTCTGTTGACATTGATTTTTCTTTGTATATGGGAAGCAAGTCTACCATCTGAGAAAAAAACTGTGGTGGGGGTGGATAAGGAAGATTGAAGGGATAGGGTTGTATGGACATTTGAGGAGAAATATTTTGAATAGCCACTGTAGAGAAGGGAGAAGAAGAAAGTGGGCAGTGCTGTGGAGGACTGTAGACTATTCATCTGCACCAAACTTCATGATTGTACAGCTGGGTAGTACAGAGGCAAATAATTGGATGGCTTTTGGGGCATGATTTTGCAGTATGGATTAAATGGACGACAAGTCAGATAAAAGAATTGTGGCAATCCCAACCCTAGGCAACCCTATTCTACTATTCTTTATAGTTTTGCTTACTTTGGATATTTCATGTAAATGAAATCATACAATGTATAGTCTATTGTAACGAGCTTCATGACATTAGAATATTTCCAAGGCTTATCCTTACTGCAGTATGAAACACACTTCATTCTGTTTTTATGGCTAAGTATTGTCCTACTGTGTGTATATGACACATTTATCAATTCATCAGCTTGGGTTGTCAAGTCATTGGTTTGGTCCATGTTTTGGGTATTATATAAAATGCTGCTATGAACATTTGTACACAAGTTTTTGTGTGGAGGTAAGTTTTTCAATTTCTTGGATATTTCTAAGAGTAGAATTGCTGAGTCAGATGGTAACTACCTGTCTAGCCTTTTGAGGCACTGACAGACTATTTTCCAGGGTGGCTGTATTATTTTACATTCCCATCTGCAATATTTAATGGTTATAGTTTTTCTACATCCTCACCAATCCTTGTTATCTTTCCTTTAAAACATTTATTATCACCATCCTGATGGGTTTGAATGGTGTCTCATTGTTTCCATTTTTGTTTCCCTGATGGTTGATGATTTGAATATCTTTTGATATGCTCATTGGCCATTTGTATATCTTCTTTGAATAACAGCTGAGGCAGAATAATTGGAAAGGTGGACTTGTGGAATCCTTAGAAGAAGGAAAGAAAATGGAGTGAAAAGGACATTTAAGTTTTGTGAAAGTAGGATGTTTTAGGGATGGGGTTCTGTATGGGATTGTAGAGTAGGAATTTGCAGTTAGACAGTAGAATGTTAGGGTTTTTGACTTACATCTAGGACAAATAAGTACAGGGTATGAATACACAGGATGTGGTTATAGGAGGAAATTGCTAAAAGGACATGTGGGTAAAATATGATTGAGCAAAAAGGGTCAGAGAACAAAATAGCCAGAGAACTGGATATGTCATCCTCATGTGCACTGGTACTGCCTGGATAATGGTGGAACTAAGAATGCTGAAGAATAGCATGATGCTAAAACTATCAGTAAAGTGACCAGGTAATGTCAGGCTTCAAAGTAATGTCTTTATGTGAAAGTGGAAGATTTTGGTTTAGAAAAATACCAAGGAATAAGAAAAGTTTACAACCACTAATCTTTTCTTATTATAAACCCAGGTGCTATGGATGAAGCCTGGAAGACTGTGCAGGCTCCATCTGAGAGGCATAAAGAAGGGGTCTGGTTTAAATGAAGGCACAGAGGTCAGAGCTAGTAATTTTAGATCAGAGCATGTGTGTGTGTTGGAGTAATTTGGTAACAATAAAGATGGTTCTAGATGGCATAGTGAAAGGATTGGAAGATAGGCAAGAGGAGAAAGTGGGCAGTGTGTTAGAGTGAAAGTACAAGCTGTCCTGATAAAATAGCAGAGAAACATTGACAAGACTTTGCCTTAATAAGAACTTACATTAATAAAGCCATAAAACATTTAAAAATTACATTTTAAAACAACACAGTCTGGTCATTAATAGCCTTGTGATTAACTGGAGCCAAACTATCAGAGTTTGAATTTTGGCTCTACCACTTACCAGCTATATGATCTTGAGCAAATTTCTTGATCTTTCTGTGCCTCAGTTTCCTCACCTATAAAATTAGGCTAATAATAATACTTTCCTTGTAAGATTATTATAATATTAAATAAATTAATGTCTGTAAAGTACTTAGAAAAGCACCCGGTGCTTAATAAGCAATATAAGAATATTACATAAAAATATTTTATTCCATTGGTGAAAAAGTAAGTTTGTGACTCCTGGGTTTCATACTTGTAAAGTTGTTTTTTTCAGGAGAACTTTCTGTTACAAAGACTTTTTAAAAAGCATAGAAACTGTAGCAGTTTCAAGTGTAGAGCTATTAAACTTCAGTCTCACTAAGTACAAAACAAAGGTTTACTTTGCACTCCTTATTTTTCTTTTCTTAGGGCTGCTGACACTATCTGTAGTTCAAAATTCCTTGCACATTGATGGGCTGTCATTCATATAACCCATTGTGATGCACAAAGCTAGGGACACCCTTTCAAAAAACAGATGTATACCTATGCAATTGTGTGTGTGTGTTGTGTGTGTGTGTGTGTTGATTTTTTGAAGGCACAGTTTCTGGCAATGGTGCTTGTAGTGAGTCTATACAGACTGTAGTACAAATCATGTTTCCTATTAAGTAGGTCCCAGCAAAGCCTGACTTAACAAAAGCATTTGCTGTAGGAGAAATTCCTATTCAGAGAGTACAGGTGATCAGAGAAGCTTGGATTTGGCTTGAGAGTGAAGGATGACATTGACTGAAAGAGACCTGGTGGTATTAGCTAGTCACAAGTTACCACCAGCTGGAGCTAGTTAAAAGAGTTGTCCTGCTATTGCTGGGATGGTGTTCTAGGCCGGGGTGTTTTGTGGTCACCAGTCAGCAGTCTGTGGTATCACTTCAGGATTCCAAATAGATTGCTGAGGGCTGTGTATGGAGTGTGACGAGTAATCATCGGCAGTAGGAACCAGGAACTATTTTCTGGTAGGAGCGGCAAACACTTCGTTCCAGATCCATGGCAATGGCGATCATGCTGGGTTGGCCTTGTGAAGACCTCTTATCCTGGCAGCCAGGGAAGTTTCCTGATCAGTCCTAAGTGTGCTTTCTGGGCAAAACTCTGTGACTGTTGCACAGTTCTTCCTGGGCTCCAACTTCTGGGACTTTCTTCCTTGTCTGTTTTGTCCTATGACATCTGAAGAAGAAATGGGGAAGTACACCCTTTCTGAGAGAAACACAGCTTTCCAAACATGCTTTTTCTTTTCTTTTAAAAACTGGGGATTCTAAAGATGGTTTTAAGTCTCTAAAGCTTTTTTAGGGCAGGCTTTTTGTTTGTTTGCAAAAAAACTTAGGAAACTCAGTTATCTGCTTTAGTTACTTCCATGTATAAATAACTATCTGAAGATTTTCCCTAGACAAAGGTCTTAAAAATGTTTTGTTTCTTTGCCACCAACACCTCCCATCACTTGTTTTCTCCCTCTCTCCCTCTTCCCCTCTTCCTTCCCCCCACCCCATTCAATACATGATGTTATATTGAGACCAATGGAGACCATATCCTTGAATAGGGAGCTATACATCCTAAGTGCAAAGTCGGATGAGCTCTGACAAGTGCACATCCATGCACCACAACCACAAACACCAATAGAAAATTTCCATCACCCATATTACTTTATGTTTTTTTTCCCAGTCAGCCTCTATCCATGGACCCCACTCCTGGCTCCAGGACATCATTGAACAATTTTTTGCCACTATAAGTTAGATTTGTCTTTTCTAGGGTTTCAGACAAATGGGAGTCTACATAGTACTCTGTGCCTGACTCCTTTTGCTCAGCCTGTTTCTGAGGTCCATTCATGCTGCTGCATGTTTCAGTAGTGCATTACTTTAAATTGGTGACTTGTAGTTCATTGTGTGACCATGCCATATTTTGTTAATCCATTTATTTACCTGTTGATGGATTTTTGGGTTAGTTCTAGTCTGGGGTTATTACAAATAAAGCTGCTGCCATGAAAAATATTAATGAACAAGTTTTCTATGTTCATATGTTTGAGTTACACTTGGGAAAATACCTAAGAATGGAATTTCTCAGTAAGTGTATAGTTAAAAAATTTTTAAAGCTACTTAACTGATCTCTGAAGTGGTATACATTTCTTATTGCCAACAGCAGTATATGAGGGTTTTAGTTGTTCCATATGTTGACAAACATATGGTATTGTTTATTTTATTTTGTTATTTTAATATCTATGTAGTGGTATCAATTTGCATTTCTCTGTTGAACAATAATGCTGAGCATCATTTCACGTCCTTGTAGGTTTTTTGTATATATGCTTTTGTGAAGTGTTTATTCACATCTTTTGCCTATCTATCTATTATCTATGTATCTATCTATCTATCTGTCTATCTTTCTATTTTGTGATGTTGGGGATTGAACCTGGTGACTAACACATTCTAGACAAGTGGTCTTCCACTGAGCTATATCCCCAACTCCTTTTGCCTATTTTAAATTGAGTTTTCATCTTCTTTATAGTAAGTTATGAGTTAAAAATATTTTTTCTGATGCAAATCTTTCATTACATAGTGCAAATAATTTTATCTCTCTCGATAGTTTACTTTTTCCATACTCTTTAACTGTATCTTTTAACAGATTTTAATTTTGATGTCTAATTTATCAGTTTTTCTTACATAGTGAGTGATTTTTTATTCTAAGAAATCTTTGCTTAACTCAAGTTTGCAGAGAATTTGCTTCTATGCTTTCAAATAGAAATTTTGTAGTTTTAGCTTTAAATTTAGGTTTAAGATTCTTTCTTTGTATATAATGTTAAGGGTAAGAATCCATTGTTTTCCATATGAAGATATAATTGTTTCTGTGCCATTTATTTTGAACACACCATCCTTTCTTTGTCCAGACCAAAATGTATGTGTATGTCTATGCATGTATTATATATTTAATATTTATTACATCTGTAATTCTGGACTCAGTATTCTCTTTCATTTCTCTGTATGACTATCTTCATGCCAATACCATGCTATCTTAATTACTATAGCTTTATAATAAGCCTTCAAACAGATAGTGGGTTTTTTTCATTATTATTTTGGTTATAATAAATGTTTTATCTTTTCATTTGAATTTTTAAATCAACTTGTCACTTTCTATACAAAGCTTATTGGATTTTTATTTGGAGTTACACTGAACCTACAGCTTGTATTGTCCAAATTGCAGACTCTATCCACATGTGACTATGAAAATTCAAATTAAATATTTAAAATTAGTTCCTCAGTCATAGCATATTTTCAGTGCTCAATTTCATGTGGCCAATGGCTTGTGTGTTGGAAAGCTCACATGTACAGAACATTTCCATACTGTAGTAAGTTTTGTGGTCCAACACTGGAACATTACTAGAATGATTTGGAGAGAATTAATGGCACTCAATAAACATGGTATTTCTTTACATTTATTTAGGTCTTAACTAGCAGTTTACTATGGTTTTTAGTTTACATATCTTAAAAATATTCCTATGAATTTTATATTTTTGGATTTTATTGTAAATATTATTTTAAGAAAAATTTTAATTTCCAATTATTTGTTGTCAGTATATAGAACTACAATTTATTTTGTATATTGCTCTTACAATATTCTGTGACCTTAATAAACTCACTTGTTAGCTCTTGTATCCTTTGTAGGTTCTTTGAAATATTCTACATAGTTATGGTGTCTGTGTTTTAATGTTTTACTCTTTTCTTTACAACCTTATACAAGGTTGTAACCTTGTACAACCTTATACAAATTTGATTTTATTCTTGCTTTGGCTTGGACCTCCAATATAAAGTTGAGTCAAAGAGTGAGAGTAGACAATTTTATTAATCTTTTCAAAGAATCAGCATTTAGTTGGTTGTGTCTATATTTTATTCCATTTTCTTCCATTCTTCATTACTTCTTACTTTGGATTTAATTTGCTATTCTCTCTCTAGTTTCTTAAGATGGTTACTGAGATCATTGGTTTTAAACCTTTCTTATTTGGTAATAGTAGCATTATAAAGCTCCACATTTTCTTCTAGGCCTTTAGTTTATCTACAGACGATGAATTTTGATATTGTGAACTTTCATTTTATTCAGCTTAGAATGCACACGCTCCTTGACATGCTATTGGGTTATATACTGATTAGTCCATAGTAAGTTGAAAATATCATAAATTGAGAATGCATTTAATACTCCTAACGTAATAAGCATCATAGCTTAGCAACACCCAATATTGTAAAGTACTGGTCATCTGCCCTTGGGGTTGCCTGTCTGACTGGGAGCTGTGACTTGCTGCCATTTCTCAGCATTACGATACAGTATATTGTACCACACATTGCTTATGAAGGACAAGATGAAAATCCAGCAATACACTGGATTGCAGCAAGTTGAGGACTGTCTGTGTTTTTAAATTTCCTTATGACTTCCTTTTTGATCCATGGTTATTTAGAGAAATGTTATTACCAAATATTTTTGGATTTTC